ATAGCATAGAAGCTTGAAAGCCTTATTAAATTATGCCTCCAGGAATTCCACAAGCTGGAAGTACTTGTGTCACTGATGGCTTCACTTGCCCTTGACATTAAAGCGCAGTGGTATCACTCTTGTCTCCTCCATTCTTTCTCCCAGGAGATCGGGCACTCCTGTAATCAATAAATCCACATCGTATATAGTCCATCAATGGCATGGCTGTATCCCTACAGACGCTGCTTTGATGGTTTACGATGAGAAGTATTGTCAGTTTGTGAAAAATATGGTTAATATAGTTAGAATTTATGTGTTATATATGAGGCCTGTTTAGTGAATTTAGTATAAGCCTAATCTTCACGGCCTATGGTGTATGACAAAACCGAACTTTGCACGTGGATCGGTAAGGATAGGTTAGGAGTGTCTGATAGAAATGGAAGAGGCAACAAGGGACTTGTCGAGAACCTTGTATCGACCAACACCAAACTAATTTACAAGCACTGACAGCATGCACACGAGAACTTAACTGTGACACTTACTAACCGAACGACGACTGCTTGGATGTGAAAACAAACTTGTCAAGTTCACTTTATGCCAGGAAATGAGAAACATACCACGCCGTTTTCCTTGGAGAACTATTTAGAGCAAGCATGTTCTACGAGTTCCGACATTCCAGAATTCGGTTGCTATTCATCTGGTACGGTAGACGCCTGTTAATATTCAGTTCGCATTTTTTCACGCTGTGTGCAAATACAGTAGCAAATTTCTATGGACTTCCAAGCGCAGTGAATCCGATCTCCTTCTTTCGTAAATGTACAGTTGCTATCCTGATCTGAGGTGCTGGTGGTTGCAGACGACCGCGTCCATAGTGCCACCGACTCTTCCCACGAAGGCCTGCTGAATGGTCGATCAACAACGAGGCCTTCAATCACCCACACTCCCACGCAACTACACGCTTCTGACCCACGCCCCCGCAACAACTGCCGGTCTCTCAGCTTTTTTCAGTTTTTGATTCGAGATGCGTCATCTTAATGGACAACTATCAATCACACCAACAGCCTTCACTATGATATGGCACAGAATGATATGGTACTGGTCAAGTGGTTAGATATCCCTATAGAGACGATATGAGGGGTTTTTGTGGTCAAGGACGGCGTCACGCAGACAAGCGCGTAGACGCAGATGTGCAATCCTGGGACAGATGCGAGAAACAACTGCAAGTCGGACGGGTACAGCATGAAATTAGGGTATCGTAAAGCCCTGCGTTAACATCTGCCATTAATGTCGACAGAGTGACTCTAATTGGTTTATTTAAACGTCCTCTGCATCGTTCGTTGCACTCTAGCCCGAAGTGCATGCGTGCGATTTACGCTCCTTGAATGTAATTTTGTCACTTTTTAGCTCATTACATTCAAATTATCACGTAAGCCGGCAGTTAAAGATCTGTGGCTTGGACTGTTCGTGTCCAGTAATCTCGTCTATTTACGAAAAAGTGTCACCAATTCAATCTGTGCAGGGTAAGTTAATTGTATGTTAATTATCCCAGCCGCAAATGTTCTCGTTGGTCGTCCTAGGGGCTTCGGTCACCGTCTTTTCCCATAAATCGCAAAAGTTCTACTGGAAATCACAGTTTAAATTGTCCACACAGACTAAAGAATTTTATCCACGGAAGAAATTTGCAGAACTTTACTTATACGAGTTGTCTCACAAGGGATCACTTAACCGACAAAGTCAAAAAGGCTGGAATAACAGCTTTATGCCACAAGTCCTCTCAATACGGACGTGCTCGGCACGCCCCATGTAAACAGATTCAACTGCAGAAGTCAGTGTGTTCCCCACGCATGCCTTTCACAACGATTGCAGTTATTATACACTACTCTGCGTGAACGTCTGCGAAGGCAGTCCTGAAGGTGATAATCTCAATCTTTCTACTACTATCCCCAGCTAGATCACAGTTGGTAGCCAGGCCCCGTCTTACAGGTGGCGGGGAGTTAGCTTACAAAGGCTATTTTGTAGGGCCTCCTAATCACATCTAACCCATTTGGCTTCCGTTTTACGTTTGAGTTTAGGATTAGGGTCCCTGTTAATAACTTCCGATTTTCGGGTTAGGGTTATGTTTCTCCTTCGCCATCTTCTTCTCCACCTCCTTCACGCCGACCCACTCATGGCCAGACTGGCAGGGTGAGTCCACTCACTCTGTCAGCCTGGAATGTTCGTTCCCTTTCAGACAATCCGAAGTCCAACCGACCGGAAAGGAGGACGGCGCTAGTGGCCCGGGAACTGACGCGCTACAAGGTGGACAACGCC